CAGAAATATTTTAAAGAGTTATATAAATGGCCTCCGTGCCAAGAACATAAGGCGTACAGCCAGTTGGGGGGGGGGATTTATTAATGTTTAGGACAAACTATCTGAAAACAAGTAGCTATCAGTTTTATTGGGTACAACTGTTCTTAGTATTGAGCAGTCAACAGATAAGAGCTAGGTGTTGTGCTGGCACTGAAGAAATGGATATAAAAAGACTAAGACTTCTCATAGTTTAGTGGAGAAGACCAGAGAATGTATGTATTTGAAATAAGGCATTAAAATGTGGACATATATGTAGCTTGAGATTTCCTGACTGGCCCACAGTCAGGACAAATCTCTGACACCAGCCAGTCCCACATCCACTCAAACCCGACCAAGTAAACACAGAGACTTATATTGGTTACAAACTGTATGGCCATGGCAGGCTTCTTGCTAACTGTTCTTACAGCTTAAATTAATCCATTTCTATTAATCTATACCTTGCCACGTGGCTTGTGGCTTACCGGTACTTTACATCTTCCTTATCCTGATGGCGGCTGGCAGTGTCTCACCCAGCTTCCTGTTCTCTCAGTTCTCCTCTCTGTTAGTCCCGCCTATACTTCCTGCCTGGCCACTGCCAATCAGCGATTTATTCATTGACCAATCAGCAACACATTTGACATATAGACCATCCCACAGCACATATAAAATAGGAACAAAAGTCCTGCACCTGTGTTTTCATGCAAAACCAGTAAGTGGCACAGTTAAGTTCAGGGGAACAACCAAGTTTTTCATCGGCACAACTCCAAATAAAATAGTTTTTACTAGATTAAACATTTTCTCAAATTGGTTGTGTTCCAAACAAACTCGAGAAGAACAGCACCCCTGAGGAACATATTTGGGGTTCATTAAGCTCTGTACAAGTAAAATATTAGCCCTCCTGTGAAACCGAGCCCGATGGTCCATTTCCTGCAAGTAAAGACGAGGACACAGCCTTTCCCATGGACACCTTGTGTGGTGCCGGAAAGTGAAGCTGCAACCCAGATCACAGAGTCCTCAGACCCGGCATGTGGACAAGTTGGTTGCCTGTAAGCTATACCACTGCTTTGTTGTTTCCTTCTCTCTCTCCTCTTTCTCCTCCTCCTCCTCCTCTTCTTCCTCCTCCTCCTCCCAGCTTTGTGTATTGTTGCATTTTTATCACCTGGTAGGGACCAACCTCTGCTTTTAATTTGAAAAAAGAGACGAACTTAATAATACACTTTGAAGTTGAAAAATAAAAGCACATTAGAAATTCAACTTCACACACCTGGGCTACTTTGTGTTCCTGATCCATATGCTAATTACCAAAGGGCTATAAAAGCTGGGGCAAGTGCCCAGCGCACAGGCCCTTCTCTGAGTGCCAGCCAGAGCTTGGGTACTCTGTGTGCACACATGCATGGTGTCAGCAGCTGGCTGGCTGCAGATCAAGTGAGTGATGTCAACAGTGAATTCTTACCACATTAGTTGATGGTATACTTCATTTCTGGTATAATCACACAACTTTTAATACATGAGTTTGAATTAGAATTCTAAATAACTGTTGAATGCTCTGTCTCTTTAGTCTTGCTCAGCTCAGCAACCACTCAGTTCCTACTGAGGACCTGTGTAAATAACGGAACATAAGGAACTAACTGTTCTTGACCTCAGGGTGTTTACACAATAAATAAGAAACAAACAGTTGAATGGTGTAAGAATTACGTAGAAGTTATCTGGCAAGCATACAGGGACATATCAATCAGACAAGAAATTGAAGACTTTGATGTGGCAAAGGGCTAAATCTTAGAAGATCCAAGGTTGACAAGAAGGAAAAAGGAATCAGAAGACTTTTTTCCACTGGAGAAAACTTAAGCAGTCATGAGAGGAAGGGAAAGACAGCTTGATGCTTACAGACCAGAATAGAGGTTAGATTTTGCACAGTTTTGCTGGAGCACCACAGAGATGCCAGGTCACAGTGGACTTCTTGATAGGATGAGGTTTGGGTAAGTGAAGCATCCTTTAGGTTTCTAGACAGATGATACAGGAAGATATCCCTTTAAGAGAAAGGAAATGCTAGAGGTAAGAAATTCAGCTCAGAGGCTCCTGCAAATGAGGAGAAGGATGGTAAGAACAGTAGTTGATACAGAGAAGGAGGAATATTTAAGGGGAGGGATTAAAAATATATCTCCCTTGATTGTGTAGACTTAACTAAATCAATGTCATTTATGTTAAAGGGTTCCCATCTTGAACCATATTCATGTTCACATCTACTCCCCAAACAGAGTAATGCTACAAGAAAGAAAGAAATTAAAAGTAAGAAAGAAATTGTAACTCAATATGAAATTCTAAAGGAAGTGTTTTGAAAAAGTTTGTGTCCTGGAACCCCATGTATGGGACATAAAAGCAGAAGCAGCTCCATAGCTTTTGTTACAAAGATCCTTAGGGTGACACTATGTCCTGTTTCAATCAAGCTCATAATCTTTTCCCAGGCCACCAAAGGTTGGTTTTGGTTCTCTCTTCTCACAAGCAGTCTGCTTTTTCTTTAACAAATTAGCACCTACAGTTTATGAATGCTACCAACAGATGGTCCTGACACATACAAGTCTCACCTCAGAAACGTTGGGATTTTTAATCAGGATGTTCTTTGCCCAAGTGACTTCTTCCCCAGCAGGCATAAATAGTTTGAGGCCTAAGGCATATCAATGAGGCTCAGGTGTTTCGGCTGTTGCAGACATATTCGTCATTCCCCAGTCTCCTCAAACTCTCCTGACATCACTCACTGTGAATTCCAAATACCAAAGAGAAGGGTTGGAATAAACTCTTCATTATAAAGGGTATCTTGGAGAACCGCTGTTTGTCCATATGCTGTGGCTATGAAAGATCTAGAAGAAAGGTGGGTCTCTGTCCTGCACTGGTTGGAATCAGTATTGTGACCTCAACTTCCATCAACCACAAGGTATCTTCTGGCTACTCCCAATTGCATTTCTATTAGATACCTGTCTTTCTTTCTATGGCATTGTAGATCTTGATAATCTCTGCTGAATACAATTCAATTTTAGATATATGCAATGTTATGCCAAGGCTGAGAGAACATTAGCTGGTTCACTAACCATATGTAATGTTTTTAATGTTATGAGTGTTTTTGCAATATATGTCTGGGTACCACTTGCATGCTAGTGTCCACAGAAGCCATCAGATCTTCTGGGACAGGAGTTATAGATGGTTTTGAGCTACCATGTGAGTGTTGGGAATCAAACCCAGACCCTCTGAAAGAGCAGCCAGTGCTCTTAACCTCTAGGTCATCTCTCCAGCCTTGGGAACCACTGTAACTCTGGAGGATTAGGTACTGTTCTAGACCCTGCAAATAAAAAGATGCATCTCACATGCACAATGTTAGTTCTTCTGGGGCATATGGTCAAGCAGGGAGGCAGCTAAACTCTTGGGTACATCTTCCAGTACATAAGGCTCACAATGAGACTCCAGAGCCATGACCTACCAACTGTTTTTGAAGCCTTCATAGAAGAGATAATGTTGGATATGGATTCCCAAAGAATGATTTTCACAATCCAAGAATCAGGGAGAGTAAGTCCACAACACGCTGACAAGGCCACATGAGCTACTTTGTGTTGCTTCTTATACATGCACCAATATTAGATGTTAACACCAGCACAGGGGTGGGGGGCAGGAGATCTGTAAAACCCAGAGGATTGCTGGCTGCTAGGTCTAGGGAGGCCTCTCTGAAATGAGAACTACACACACACATAACGAACAACTGGCCTTGTATGAGGCCAGCACCTCAGCTCCTTCTTCTGGTCCAGCCTCCTAGGTAGAGGTAGGTTTCCAAAATGGTGTTTCTAGGTTTCCTGTGCAAGACAAGAGACAGAGAATTCTTGGACTTGGTTGTTTCCATCGTTATTCTTTAATTGGGCAGCTTTCAAGTTGTGACGCTCATAAGAATTTATCAAAGGGTGGTATGCAGACCAGCAGCTGAAGACTTACTTGAGAATTATTGACCATGCAAATTCTTGACACCACCCCAGACTAGTGCCCATTATAGAGTTTCTTTAGTACCATTTTTCTTAGATTCTTGGTCAGTTAGCTGATCAAATATACATTTTTCCCATTATAGAAACACTCCCATGGGCCTCAACTTCCTGATCTTATCCCTAGAGCCAACTTCAGCTTTTCTATTTATTTATTTATTTATTTATTTATTTATTTATTTATTTATTTATTTGTTTGTTTGTTTGTTTATTCATGTATTTTATGTATATGGGTGCTCTGTCTTCATGAACACCAGAAGAAGGAATCTGTTCCCATTACAGATGGTTGTGAGCTACCATTGGTTGCTGGGAATTGAACACAGACCTCTGGAAGAGCAGCCAAGTGCTCTTAGCCACTGAGCCATCTCTCTAGCCTCCCAACTTCAGCTTTTATGTGATATTCTCCTCTGTGTTACTAAGATGTGCTGAGTCTGAGATTCAGCTCATTACCAAGCCTTTTCCTGCTATTGACATTTCTCATGCCCATTTGTTGTATCTTTAACATGGAGGCAGTAATATATCTGACTGTGACACAGTACAGACTTGTGAAGACCAGAGAGACAGTGCAGAGAATCTGGGATGGTGCTCTGACCCTTTGGAGAAGGTCCAATATTGGCAGAGGTCCATGACTCTTTTACCTCTCATTCTGAGCACAGAATGGTGGATGGTTATATGCTAAATCAGAAAAGCCATGTAAGAGGTATTTGGTACCCCTTATATACCTCACCCAGAGTATCAAAACTGACTAAACCAGCTCTACAAAGTATTAAAAAGTAGGTCATGGTGTGGATTTTAAGTGCCATCACCTCCTTTCATTGTCTCAAGCTCCTTGCCTTGGGGCTATATAAAGCCAACACCATTAGGGTCCCTTCTACTACTAATTATTCCTCCTCCCAGAACATAGTTGTGCTTGCTTCTGCTTTCAGCCCATTGCCCATCACAATGGCCTATAGATACAGCTTCATATAAGAAGATATTGAGAGAATACATTTCTATACCATTGTAATGTGTACTGAGATGGATGGCTTATAGGAAACAACCCCTGTCTTCTCTCTTAATAGATGATGATGTTTTTAGTGTGTGTGCATGTGTGTGGTTTCACATGTGTACATGTGTATGTAGGCCAGAGGTAAGTGCCAGGGGTTCTCCCCAGTCACTTTCCACCTTACATTTTTGAGACAGTATCTCTTACTGAACCTAGAAACCACCCATTTGCTAAACTGACTGGCCAACAGTTCCCTTGGAGCCTCTTGTCTTTCCCAGTATTAGGATCGCAGGCTCGTGCTGCTTGCACTGTTTTGTTTCTGTTTCCTTGGTGCTGGTTGACCAGTCTCCGGTCCTTATGCTTCTTCACCGAGCACTGGTCTGTCTGACTGAGCCATCTCCTCAGCCCCAGGCATGATGTCTTAGTGCATGTTTTCAGGTAGTTTGCCTTAGATGCTTACTGGGACAGACATACAGAACTGGACATAGTCTTCATTTCTACCTCCACTTTACATCATCCCACACCCCAACACACAGGCACAGTTCTTGAAAAAAAAAAGTATTCTAGAACTCAATAAGAAAAAGCACCATGAAGTTATGGCTCTCACTTGCTGCGGAAAGGACAGTCTTGAATTTGGGCTCACTCTGGATGGGCTCCACTCTTCTTGTCACTGTAGCTGAAAGTGCTACTGTTGGCAGCTCAAACCAAAGTAAACACATGACATTAGCTTGAAAAACTGTCTCCTGTGTAAAATGTTCAAGGTGAGCCATGCAAATTGCAAATGCTGGCCTGTATAACCAGGTCAGGTGATACTTTATATACTGTGGGTGGGGAAACAAGGTCCCCTGCTCTGTTGAATCCATTGTCCTACTGTGAGCAAAGAGGTTTTGATGAGGCTTGTACAAGTTAAGAGATGGGACACTGGAGACTCATATATGTCTGGATATGTTGCCTGGTAACCAAATTGAGCATTGTGTATTCATTCGAAATTTCTTCTTGCCAAGAAATATTAGTCCTTGCTTTTATTATGGAGTCCTGTATGAATTCTTTTCAGAACACCATCAAAACATGGAATTTTCCATGACTTCAAATCCAGCCTCTTCCACACAACTTACAGCTTCAATTTTGGTTTCATTCCAAGTGGCTTTCTGCAAAACAAAATACTTCCTTACATGTCTTTTAGAGAACATCCCATCTCTTTGATGTTTTTCATCTGTTTGTTTTAAATTGGTTTGAAGTAACTCTTAAATAACAATAGTCTGTTTAGCAAATAAGAAAACTTAAATGGAAAGGAGAAAAAAATATCCATAGACTTATCTCCCAAATATACCCTACTGCTTCTCCTCAGCCCCTCTACTTTTTAATACATAAAGTGTCCTTTATACTCATGATGAAGTAACAGGGACACACAGCTTTATCTTTATAAAATATATTGCTATTATTATTATTATTATTGATGTTCTGCCAATGAGATATATCCCCTAGCTCTTGCATAGGTGTATGAATTTTTTCTTTATAGCATCATATAATATTTTAAGTATATTTTGTATTTTGGGGGTCATGATGTTGTTCTGGGGATTGAACCCAAGCCTTGTACATGTTAGGCAGGTATTCTCCTCAGAAGATACATCCCAGTTAGATGTGATCATATTCCACTCACCAATTACAATCATATAATTTGAGGCTAGAGATGAAGTTCAGTTGGTAGAGTGTTGCCTAGCATGTACAAAGCGCTAACTTGGATTAAACCCAATGTGGAGGTTCATGTCTATAATCTCAGCACTTAGGAGATGGAGGCAAGAGGATCAAAATTTCAAGGTAATACTCAGCTATATATCCAGTCTGAGGCCACCCTGCACTATATGAGACCCTGTCTCAAAAAATAAAATTCTAGTAAAGTGGAGCATTTATTTTTACTCTAACTTTAGATAACACATAAAGCTAATAACAATTAGAAATTATGTTAAAAATATCATCTTAGGGGCTGGAGAGATGGCTCAGAGGTTAAGAGCACTGACTGCTCTTCCAGAGGACCCGGGTTCAATTCCCAGCACCCACATGGCAGCTCACAACTATCTGTAACTCCAGTTCCAGATGATTTGACACCCTCACACAGACATACATGCAGGCAAAGCACCAATGTACATAAAATAAAAATTAAAATAAAAAAATATCATCTTATTTTTCCCTCATGTCCTCATCCAGCACATTTTTAACACCCACTCCACTCTAGCTATCATGCTATATATTGGGCATAATCTGAGAAACACAGCAGACATGGTTCCTGAATTACATACTTTACATTATGGATAGTGGGCATAATGTAGGGAAGCATCCTCTCTGGTTACCACTGGAAAAAAAGTCAACTAGAAACTCATCTTCAATAAGTTTGAAAACTCAGAGTTAAATCTAAAAAAAAAAAAAAAGAAAAGAAAAGAGAAGATAAACGAAAACAAAGTGTTCACTGTCTATTGAATGTTGTAAAATAATCTCTAAGCTGAAGTCTGAAGAAACAAAAACTTGCTTAGCAACAACTCCAGGATGACCCCTGGCTCCCAAGCCCCATGACCTTGAGCATTCCTACCGAGTATGGAGGTGCAAGTCACAGTGACCCCTAAATCCACTGTTTTGTATCTGTGTGTTCAAACAAGTGCTCTTGCTATTATTCAGACTATGCAGTGTAATAGCCACCCACGCAGCATTTGCAATGTGATTATTTGAAGTAATTTTAAGAGGATTTATGGTGTGGGGCAGAATGTGTAGAGTCTAAGCAAACATTGTGCCATTTTACATCAGGGCTTGACTAGCACAGTTTTTGACAAACACAGTGGGTCTGGGCACAAACCCTTCCTAACCCTCACCATGAAGGATCAGCTCTCAATGCAGAGATTTATTTTCCAATAGGCAGGTGCTTCCCAGGGACCATAGTGCCAATAGCACTCACGGGCCTTCTTTTTCTCGTCTCAGGGTCCCCATGAGTGGAATGGTGACTGTTGCCTTTTGGTGGAGAGGCTAGAATACACTGCTGCATGTAGTCCAGCTGTTGTGGCCAGCTCTCTACTTGCTCACATGGTATCTTAGGTATCTTCAAACTTTAGACCATAATACTGGAAACACCATATAGTACGTTTTCAGTCCCCAATTCTCTGTGCCCGTCTCTGACCTCCCTCTCTCTTTTCCACAGTCTTTCATGTAAAACTCTGCAATGGGTGCATAGAGTAAGTTATCCTGAGAAGCTAGGCAATGTGGACATTAATCCAAAAGCAACTTGTCTACCCTCAAGTCATTATTCTACACACATGACTTGATTTTAATTAATAACAAACAAGAAGTTCAGAAAGGAAGCTCTTAAGCCAGTCCCATTCACCAGCCCCAGAATATTAACAGAATCTTTCCGGACTCTATAGGGAAATTAGATACCAGCCTTCAGGTGCTTCATTAAGAGAACTGGACAAGTGACTAATGTGTCATATTTAACTTTAATGTTCTTTCCTCTGCTACAACAAAGAGGAATGAACAGTGCCCACTCAGATGCACAGCAGTAGATCCACACAGGACCTGCTCCTTTCCAAAGAACTCTAGATAAGCCAGCATGGAAGAAAACAAGGAACAAAGACAGGGTAGCATGACTCTCTGGCCAGCCTCAGTTATTTACTTCAGTAGTTTAGTAGCCTACTGCCTATAAGTCATTCCAAACTCAAACTGCAAGGGACTCTAAAGAAATTTTGGGATTTACTTAAATGAACCATTTTGAGGAATTTTTCATCAGCCTGCCTTTTCCTCTAACTAGCCATGAGATGCTTCATCCACATCTATTGAAGAAACTTCTAAATTTGTTAAGAAAATTCCTTGATCTAAGTCAGAAGCCAGTGAATGAAGCCCAATCTGGCTTGTTATCTCTTTTTGTAAGCAAAGTTTTATTATAACACAGCCATGCTTATTCATTAGTACATTTTATGTGGATACACTCTTTATAACAAATAATCCTACCTTAAATGCTTATTATGTCTTTATAGGAAGAGTTTGGTGCCCTTTATTTCAATAGCCACTCGGCTGAAAGATAAAGTCGACAAAGTGCAATAACTGTACACAGAAAATATTGCAATGTTGCTGAAAGAAACTAAAGAAGACCTCAATATATGGAGATGCTGATAAGAGGATTAAGATGTTGCTTTTCCCCCAGATTAACCACAGAAGCTCAAATTTACCACAGACTTCCAGCTTCTTGCCTTTAATCCCAGCATTCAGGAGGCAGTCAAGTGGATCCATGAGTTTAAGGCCAGCTTGGTCTACATAGTGAATTTTAGCCAAGCCAGAGCTACATAGTGATAATTCATCTAAAAAGGAAAAAAATATCCAGATGTCTGTCTGTCCCCATCCCTTCCCACCACTCCTTTTCCCCCTTAGAGAAAATGTCAGGTGGGCTCTAAAATGTATGCAATAATTCAAGACTTAATCAAAATTTCTGGAGGAAAAACCACTTTGGGAGCCTACATCATGTCAAGTTTTACAACAAAGCTATAGTAATCGTGACAATATTGTTTTGTCAGGATCTCATCTATGCCTGTTATGTACTAAAAAGGAACTTAAGATTTCATGTTGTTGGAGGAATTGCCAGAGATCAGTTAAAAAATGGTGACTGTGAAACTGAAATTCAAGTTGAACTGGCAAGAGCCCTTGTCATTGACTAAGACTTTCCCTAAATGTAGAGACAATAATAACATCTATATCTAACTACACACAGAGAGAGAGAGAGACAGAGACAGAGACACAGAGAGAGATACATATAGGTATTGAGTGTTGCATATATATATATATATATATATATATATACAGAGAGAGAGCTTGATACTCATCCCAGGGCACTTAGAATATCACCTCTTTGTGTCCTTAAACATTACCTCATAGTCAGTCACCACAAGGAGATCTTTGATGTTACTCTTAGGGGCTGGAATTGGTGGAAATAACTTGATCCATATGTGACACCTGAAAACCGGGGAGGAATTGGGTGAGTGTAAACAGTCCTCTTGCCTAGATTTCTACTCAAACATTGACCAAGTTGGTTCCACGTGTAACCATGTTGTAAATTTGGATTCTCTGTTCATTAAGATTTCTAAACATCTTATCATCATTGAAAACCTTGGAATGCTGCCAGGCTGGGATGTGGCTTCTGAGATCTCCAGGGAAGAGGAAGTCCTAACGGTTTCACATCAGGCTCATTGCCAGGCCTGACTTCTGAAGATGAGTCGGCAGCATCCTTTGCTTGGCTTCTCATTCACTGCTCATTCTAGCTTTCCTCTTTCAACTATGCCAAATTCACGGCTCCCTCTCTTCTTTCCTTTTCCTTTGGACTGCTGCCTGTCACCCACAGGCATCCAAATATAACATGTTAATGAGTTATTACTTATTAATTCGGAAGTTATTTTCTAAGTTGTTAGGCTAAAACAGAACTTTGCCTTAGCAATTGGGGGTGGGTGCATGCAGCCATTTGTGGGCTGCAAGGTGAGACTTGAGATCTGTGTAGCCTTTGGAGAAACTGCATTTAACCTAAGGACAGCCACTCTGGACCAGAAGCCTGAAAGCCAGGAGGATGTCAACCCCTGACCTATATGTGAAGGTAGTGTGGTGACTTCAGACTTGGGTGGCCTGCTGCCTTTTTATAGGAGATGTCAAAAGACAAGCCAGTGTGGAAGGGGAAACTGTGAAGGAAAAGAACACAGTGTCAAAAACCTCTCCAGAAATGAAAATATTGTCAACAAATTAGAGGAGTGTGTGGTGGCTGAGGACTGTTCTGTGTCCTGTCTAGCTTCTGTACGCCGTGTTTTATTTCAGCCTGACCAGCATGCTGTAAATTCCACTTGATAATAAGCATGGGTAAGGATGCCCAGCACACTGCAAAGTCTGCCCTTGAATGTTAAAGAATACCTACACTCTGCAGATAAGTGAGAAGATTAACAAGACGAAGCAGGCGGTGGCTGGCAACACAATAAGATGCCACTCTGCCAAGGGTTTCTTCTCCTTTCCTGGTGAGAAGGAGAGAGAGAGAGAAAGCGAAGTCAGAACCAGGGATAATAATCAAAATGATAAGGAGGGCAGCAGAAGGATTGGGTTTGGGTTGAAGGTGCTAAGCAAGGACAAGTAACTAAACACTGAGCCGTAGATGTCACTTCTGCTGAAGGAGCTAATACCCATCTCCCAGGGTTGTTAGGAAGGGGAAATGAAACCATGGCAGCGAGGCCTTTTAATTATTATTAACTTAAGCAGGATTAATTCAGCCAATCAACCAATGTTTTAGAGCCCACCACCACCCTGTATCACTTAGATAATGGCACTTAGAGCTTCAGATGAATAGTAGGGTCTTAGGTGGAAAAGTTAAAAAAGAATAAGGCTACTCAATAACCTCATTACAGTACAGGGTGTGGTTGATAAATTGTTACAACAGGGAAACATTATTTTTACCTACTTGGAAAAGAAACTTCTGGAGGAAGTATGAGAAAATATTCATAGTTAGCAATGCAGGAGTTAGCGCCAACGATGAGCACTTTATGACTGTAATTATCCTCAAAGTATCTCTGACCCTGATGCCCATTCCACAGCTCAGAAAGTAGAAAGTTGTCATTATCAGTCCAGGAAGTTTTCTACAGATCATCCTGTCCTCTAATTTGTTCCTATTCTATATTCAGAGAATTCTTCTGTGGGCTTTAAAGATTACATCAGACTGAGCAGGAGTGGGGTGTTGTCTGTTTGATTTTAGGAATTCACGCCTGAGAAATCAAAGGTCCCTCTAAATGGTGTTGGGAGGAGTAGTGTTCTTGCTAATTTGCCTTACTCACTTTCAGGGGGAAAAAAAAGCAAATCCTGAGTTATAGTCAGTTCTCTTCCCTAGGGAAAGAGCTCATTCATTTATTCATTCATTCATTCATTTACTCATACATTTAACAAGTGTCTGCCAGGCTCTTGTCAGGTACACAAGTTACTGCGGCACAGTGGTTAAGAGAGTGCATTTGATACCTCCCATCCTGCAGCTTGGAGTCCAGCAAGGGAAATCTACAGAAGGCAAATAATGACTCAGACCATGATTTGTTGATAGCTGTACTATGTAAGCACTGTGGTGACATTCAAACAATGCTACACCCGGGATAAAAAGGTCCCAAACCTTGCTTTAATTTCTTCTATAAGACAATAAATGCATATAAATGGAGAGTTTGAGCACTTGTGACTATCCTAAGGCTTTCAAAAAAAAAAAAAAAAAAACCTCAAGCCGTTCAAAGCCCACACACTGTTCAAGTATCACAGGAGAGAGCTGTCTGGAATTAATGCTAGTTCTTGCTTCTCCCCACTCTTCCCCGTTACCCTCCCAGCGTCCTTGGTCAGGTTTCTTCTCTACCTTTCCAAAGCTTTCATTTCTTCCTTCATCTCTTCCTTTCTGCTTTCAAATATTCATAGAGTCCTTTATCTTGACTAAGCTGTGACCCTGTTCAGCCATCTTCCACAGCTACCATCAATTACTTTCTTCTCTCACTGCCCAGGCTAGTATCTTAAATAAAGATTCAGTCTGTTGCACTGTCAGACCTCAGGAACTACTTTTGAAGTCACTGGTAATGTCTTCCTAGAAAAAAACCAAAAGATCCCTTGTTTCCTGTCCTAACTTGATGTCTTCCGATCTCTCCCCTAAATTTCTTCTTTTCCTTTAAGATAATTTTTGTGGCAGGATCCCCTCTACCCCTAGACTGGCCTCAAACTCATTATGTAGTGGAGGATGAACTTGACCTTCTGATCTTCCTGCCTCCAGTTCCTTAGTACTCTACCACACCTAGTTTATGTCATGCTAGGGATCAAATCCATTGCTTCGTGCATGCTAAGCAAGCACTCTACCAAGTGAGGCACATCCCCAGCCCGTCCTTTAAAAAATCTTCTTAGCATACATTAATTGCTCAAAACCACAGGACTCATTATAACATTTTCATATATATACATTATATGCTTCTATCATATCTTCCCATTGCCATCTCCGTTTTGAATTTCAAGCTGTCCACAGCTGAGTTAAGGGAAGCCACGGCTCTTTCCTGAGATGGTCCCATTCTTCTGTGGCACTTCCTTCTCCTTCCAAAATCACAGCTGGACCCCTTTCAGTGCATCCCTTGACTAGTTCTCATCTCAGTCTGTTATTTGAGCACTGAAAAATTTGTTTTTCCAACCTACACGTTTTAATTCCATGAAACCCACAAATGCTTTTCTTTTCCTGCCCCTGCCCTGACATGTAGCTCTAGGTTTACATTATAAAATCCCCATAGCCCAAACTCACTTGAATTTTTTGCAAACCTAAGAATAGCCACAACCAAATTTATGTTCTTCATTTCATCAAAACTATTCTCAGCCAGGCATGATGCTGCATGACTATAATCTCAGAATTTTAATGGCCAAGATAGAAGGATGGTGAGTTATAGACACTCCTTGACTAAAAACAACCAAAAATGACTTCTTTCACCAGCTTCTCCATTTCAGTCTCTGACCTTCCAAGACCCAAACCTGAATCCTTGGAGATACATTGTTTCCAATTTTTATAGCCCCTGTTCCTTCTTCATACCCTTAGTATACATGAGCTCTGTGTACAATTATAAATGTAAGGCTACATGCTTCTGCCTCCTGCGTCTATCCTTGCTTAGTCTGGAGACCTGGGTTCCAGACTTGGCTTTCAGTGAAGCTGGACATTTGGGGGCTTGGTAGTCTCACCTCAAATCAAGTTAAAACACAGAATTCTACAAATTCCTCCCCCCACAGACATGCTTTTTTTCTGGTAGCACTTTTCTACCTAGGGCACCATCACTTCATTATATATCCTTTAAACAAGACTAATTTTACTAAAGCAGTGTATTTTTACTGTTAATAGTTTGAAAGTTAAAGTATAAAAATATGAAAGTTATCAGTCACAAGGATTAACTAAGAACTTATTCTCTACACATATTTTATATGTACTTTTAAAAAAGTGACTAGACACAATGTACACCTTTAATTTGCTTCCAGAAGCCACTGTGCAAATGGAAAAAAACTGAAGTAGAAAAAGGCAGTCACCTGAGGACACACAGCTATCCGGGAAACGGGAAACAAAGCCCATGATTGGCTAATGATTCCATCCCTAAATGTAATGTAGAGTTCCAAGTCCATACCTCTCCATCTGTAAAACTGAGGGTGTGCTATGTGTGCTGGGGCTTTACTTGGGGTATTTTAGGTGTCTCTTTACTCCATGTATGTAGAGATAATGTATTTGTTTAGTTAATGTATTCTAGATGTTTCTTTGACATCAAGAACCACCACCACTAGCCCCCAACACCAACACCTTTGTTGCTGGACCTGCTTCACTGGAGTAAAAGCCTATTTTGTGTTAGACATACATTTACAAGCCTCCTCTTTAGCTGAGATTGACTGCTCTGCTAAGGCAGAGGCAGAGGCAGGAAGATAATCACAAGTCAGAGGCCAGCCTGGTCTATACAGTAAGTTCCAGGCCAGTCAGGTCTGCATAGTATGATACTGTTTGTTGTTTGTTTTCTCCTTTTAGAAAAGTCATTGAAAGTCATTAACCACACTGTCTTTTTGTTCATAACTATGTTACAAAGACACACAGCAAAACTTTTAGTCCTATGAAAAGAACAAGAAATGTTGTAAATATTATCATGGTCACACACTCAATAATTTGTGGCTCAAATTATACAATACCCACTGGCCTGATACGCCGAGTCCTGATAAGAGTACCGTTGTCTTCTAACCATGATTACAAAAATCTTTTCAGTTATACCACTGGTTTATTCACCTTACCTCTTAACTTAGATAAGTGTAGAGTCTCAGTGAATGAGCAAAAATCAAGGAGGCAACTGATTTTACTTCATCCAACTAAAAAATAAAGTTCTCATTACATGGAAACTACCGTGTAGAAAACCAAGTCATGGGTAGTGCTTGGAAGGAGTTAACCGGGCCTCTCCAGGCTCCCCTTCTATATCACCATGTGAAGAGTAGAACTCATGCTCAAGGCCACAAGCATCGTGAGCTTCACCTCAAAGAAAATATGTTGACAGGTCAATCCAGTGCAAGAGAGCTTATTCACATACTGTTGAGTAAAAATGACTTGCCAATTACCAGCAGTTCAGTTATTTAAATTTTGTTTCTTCTTCCTTTCAACATTTATTTCTTTTATGATGGAAGGCTGTAGATACCAAGGTACCTGTGTGCAGATCATGGGACAACTCGTAGGAGTTGGTTCTCACTCTCCTTTAACTATGTGATTCTCAGGGATGGACCCAGGTCATCAGGCTTGGAAGCAAGCACCTTTACTTCCTGAGGTATCTCACCAGTTGTTTGATCAATGAGAGCGAGAGCGAGAGCAGAGCGAGAATGAGAGCGAGAGCGAGAGAGAGAGCGCGCGCGCTGCGCGCGCGCGAGAGAGAGAGAGAGAGAGAGAGAGAGAGAGAGAGAGAGAGAGAGAGAGAGAGAGAACTAATCATTATAAAAAGATGGATCCAAGCAAGGACCTTCTCTTGTCTGGCTGAAGGCAGAACAGCAGATCAATATTTCAATACTCTAAAGCTGAGACGTTTTCAGGTGTCCTAGAACACATGACCTCAGAGCTTTCCTTTCTTAATCTCATGGGCAAGACTCTGGGCTTGATCCTGAGACTGGGACTTTAGTGGGGAGGGGATAAAAGGAAACAAAAGAAAGTTCTAAGTAATGTGAATCATTTGTCTGACTTAAGGAGCATTTCTTACATGTTATTCATCTTGAAGTCACAGATGTTTCTTAAGAAATTGCTGGGAATGGGGTCTAAAAATGCCAGTTTGTATATCCAGGATAAGTCCTGGTCCCATTGCCAGGGGACCCACAAACACATCAAGCCACGCAACTGTCACCCACATTCAGAGGGCCTAGTTTGGTCCCATGCAGGCTCCCCAGCTGTCAGTCCAGAGTCCATGAGCTCCCATTAGTGTGGGTCAGCTGTCTCTGTGGTTTTTCCCATCATGATTCTGACC